TGAGTCCCTTAATCTCTGCTTGCTTGGCCTGCCTTACCGTGCTTTATTTCCACAGTCCATGAGGTCAGCAATGTCTGCATAGGAGGTCACAGCCAATTTAGATAAATCCTGCACGTAGGGGCCCAGGATAGGGTGCTCCCGGACCCGCAGAGATCCCCGACTCTTGGGGTTCAAGAGGTCTCGTACCCGCTCACAATAGATTTCCATATAGCTCACCTGAGTGAGAGAAGCAACTAAGAGTAAGGAAACAAGTAATGACAATGCCGGTAAAACTTAAGCTAAATTGCACTACACCACACACAGGTAACTGGAACTCGCTCACACATACACATACACACACCAGGTATGGTGCTAAGATCTCTACGTGCTAGCTCAGACCTCCCATCAACCCTGGGAAATTAGTCTAATCATTAGCACTTCAGATGACCATACCAAGGAGCTAAAGGTTGAAACCAAAGTGAGGGTAACTGCAGAGCTAGAACAAGATCCCAGGCTGAGTCCAACACTAACATCGCCCTCACTCTTAATCTCTCTGCCTTCCTCCCCCACAAACCCCACACACACTGCTTACCTCCACAGAATAGGAGAGCTGAGCACTCTGGTTCTCACTAACACGAGAAAAGAGGTCCTCACAGAGCTGGAGAGAGACACAGAAAAGCACAGAGAAGCTCCATTCATGGCACACTTGCAGTGCCCAGCCCCAGGCCCTTAAGTTTTACTGGGCTTGCCCTATCCCAAATGACTCAATTTAACCTTTTCCACAGGCCTGAGGGAGGGGTTATTCTCATTTTGTAGGTAAGAAAGCAATCTTTGGGAGGTTCACCCTTGACCAGGGTCACAGGCTGGTATTCAACAAGGCAAGATGCAAACCCAGGTAATCTTATTCCCAAATCTATCTGAAGATCACTATGCTACACAGCTACCGAAAATTACGGTCAGCTCTCAGTTATCCACAAGATCTTTTCACAAACAATATCTTGTTTCTGGTACGGAAGCCTGTTAGGGAATTATGCTCTCACATGAAACAAAGTAAACCAGCAGAAAGTGGAAAACCAGGGCCTAGACCCAAGACTCTCTGATACTAAAGGCTTGTCTCTTCTCACCAAGCCTCTCTGTCTCTTTCAGGATGAAGCCTTCTCCCATGAAAGGGACCTGGGCATCCAGACCATGGTCAGTCCCATAGGAGGAATTTTTTTTTTTTTTTTTTTTTTTTTTTTGTGTGTGTGTGTTTTGCTCCTTGAATGCCTTCAGGGCACTTTTGCATGGCTGGAGTGTTGTGGGGATCGAACTACAGCAAACTGAAGCTGCCAGCATTGTGGAAGCAGCCACTTAAAGAACTGAGCTAGGGCTGGGCCCCCAAGTCCCATAACATACCCTACAACTAAAAGCCTCAGAGAACCAGCTCTCTGTTCCATAAACCTTAGACCCCTGTCCTTTCTCCTCTGTGGAAAATGCTCCTGCCCTGGCTGCCCAGTCAGGTATGTACCTGCGGCACGATTCCCTGCTGCCCTGGCTCCTGCCGCCCCATCATGGTGTAGGACTTCCCAGCCCCAGTCTGCCCATAGGCAAAGATGCACACATTGTAGCCTTCAAAAGCGTGAAGCAGCATCTCTTCCCCAATGTCTCGATACACCTGCTGTTGAGATGCAAACTGGGGGTCCTCAGCCTAGGTGAAAAGGGGACAGAAAAATTTAACAGGAGCACTGGATGACTTTGTCCTTGTCTATAGTCCCACAGCCTAGCCTACTCCCCACCATCATCAACCTAATCAATGCTGAGCATTCTATCTACCCCCACCACCCCCATACTGGCTCTAATCATTCTGAGTGCTTACCCTCCCTTCTCTTGGCCCCAAGCACAATCTAAGGGTCCTACCCAGCCTCACTCAGGGCTCACCCCACCTTCCCATTCAGTCCCAACTTATCCCAGGAAGGTCCTATTTCCCAGCATTGTCCCCTCTCCTGGACTTAAAGATCCCCTCCCCGCCCCATAGGTTAGTTTCCCCCAACCCAACAACCTCACCGAAGTGTGTGACCAGTAGGAATAGTCGAAAGTGAAGCTTTTGGGGGCATCTTTGCTCTGTTTGGGATTGAAGATGGCTGAGGGGGCAAAAAAAGGACAAAAAGAGAAAACCCAGATGAGATACTCCCAGTCTCTGTCCACTCTACCATAAGCCCCTGAAATCTAGAATCCCACTCCCCATCTCTGTCCTATTTCATCTCTCCCCTTTAATACTCCCCACCCCCTCCTGCCACCAAAGCTAATTTTGGCTTCCTCGGACCCGCCCCCTATGAGCTGCCTCCCTGGATTGGGCAATCAGAGGGCTTCCAGCCAACATTCCCCCCACCGGGGACAGGAACATGGAAAGGCCAGCCTGCCCCAGCCCCCGCCCTTAAAACTAGCACCTGCTCTGTGCCCAGCAGTCCTCTGTTTTGACCCAACAGGACTGGCCTACATGGTGGGGCAGCTTCTCTCTTGTGCCCAGTCAGGCCCCCAGGACTCACTCACAGGTGGTGTTGCCCTGCATGCTGACCACACACTTGGCATCCTGGCTGGTCTCACGGGCATTGAAGGGCCGAACCCTCACTGCCACTTTCACCGAGGCACCAGCCATAGCTCCAGACACTCCTGCCCTCCTCAGCTGGAGGACAGAGAAAGAGGGGTGATCAGAGCCAGTGGAAGGACTCAAACATTGCTTCCCAGCTTCTCTTTGACACCATCTCTCTACTCCCTTTCCCCAGCTAACCAGCCCCTCATGGTTCCAGCTTCCGTCCCTCTGGCCTTCCTCCCAAATGCCACTAGTTTAAAGGGCTCCAAACATATTCTCGCCCCTCTCCCCAGCCATATCCCAGCTTGCAGGGACCTGGGCCATCACCCCAGAGTTACCTGGTGTCCTGGCCCCAGACCATGGGGGCTGTATCAGTTCTGGCTGCCACCAGCCCTCGTAGGGGGAGCCCCATCCTACACTTGGGGCCTGGCCACACCAGCAGGGGCTGTAGGGGAAACCCTGGTTGTGGGGAAAGACTGGTTAGGAGGCACCTGTGACTTCAGGTCTGTCTGGGATTCTGCATTTAGAGAGCAAGAGTTTGGGGGTAATGTTAGGAAAGATAGAAATTGCTGCCTCTCTGGAGTAGCTGAATACAATGTGAGTCCAAGGACAGGAATGGTGGTATTTTTATTCCTCATCACTCTCAAGTGTACTGAACATTCAGACAGAGGGGAGAGAAAGTGAGAGAGAGACAGTGAAGCTGGACAGAGAGTAATTCAGAGAGGGACACATGGACAGAGAAGTGGCAGGATGGAGAAGAGGAGAAGAAAAATCAGATACCAAGAAAATGAGAAAAATAAGCCAAAAGGCAAGATTGAAGTCATGCTATAAAGACAGAATGGGAGAAAGAAAGAGGAGACACAGTGAATATCAAACCCAGAAATTTTGAATAAACAGAGAGGGGGCCACAGCACAAGCTGGGAGTCCAGGAACTGAATGGAGAGAAAACCCCAAACATAAAACTTAATCTATAATTCCTTTACAGGACCAGCAAGGAAGAAGTAGACAGCAGTTCCCAGCTGATATCCACAGCGTCCATATAAGAGGCAGTGGCTGCTGACAGAAAAAGTCCAAGAGCTGCAGGTACCCAAGGCCTGCCTTTTGGGCCTCAAGCCCCTTGCCCAGCCCTCAGCACTTCCTCCTCAGGATCCAGGACAATGGCTAGGGTAGGGTGGGGTCATCCTGTATCCACTATACCAACTCCCAGGGCTCAACTGCTGGGGGAATCAGGGTGCTTGTATCTTGGTGGGTAGGGAGAAAAGGTTTGACAGCTCCTTGAAGGGGAGAAAAAGGAAAGCACACAGACTGGTCTCGGCCCCAGCCTGGGGCTTATGCTATGGCGTCCACAGCCCTGGGGATGGTGCCAGGCTGGAACCCAGGAATGTAGGTGATCGGGTGCCCACACCCTGGGAGGAGAGGCTGAGCAGCCCACGCCCACAGACAGCAAGGTGAAGACTACAGAAAGGGTTCAGGGATGCCGGGTCCCCACCTGTGGACTCAAAGAACCTCAAACCTCTGTCATGCTGGGCCTCACCTCACCAGGCTTCCTGGGCAGAACACGGGTTGGTCTGTCTCAGGACAGGAAGGGAGTAGCCGAAATCAGAGGCTAGCTCAGGAAAAATGGCCCTGACCCCCAGACCCTGACCAGGGGAGGGAAGGACAGTGGTAGAGAGAAACAATTGTGACTCTATTACAACTAAGAGAACAAGGAAAAGTGCGAGATAAAGCAGGTTATGTATGAGATAGCGCGGTAAGAAGCTAGGGGGTAGATCCAAGGATCTGCCGGTGCACCTTCAAGGGTATAGCGGGGTACAAGGAGAACCCCGTGGCTGGGATTAGGCCAGCCTACCCGACATGGGCCTCAGGCCACCTGCACCTCACCCACCCCACAATTCTCCAACAGGCCCCTGCCTGGCCTCTGGGCGGCCGAGCCGACCCTGGCCCCCAGTCCAGTCCAACGACGGCTGCCTGGGGCCTGGCACCTCTCTGCGCCTCCGCGGGACAAATAGCACATGATCCCAGCTCTCGTGCCTAGCCGGCACTCGCTGGGTCGCGCCAACAGGACCCCGGCTCCCCGCCCCCCAGCCCAGCACATTCCTCAGCGGGCGTCCCTTCCCTTCCCCCCTCCCCAGCTCTCACCTCGTCGCGGCGGGGTTCCCAGCGCGGCTCCGCGAAGTGCAAAGGGACAAACTTTCCGGGAATCGTGAGACTGGAGTGGTGGAGAACCGGGGCCGGTTCGGGGTTACCCCCGCCCCTCGCCGGGTCCCCGGGCGACGGGCGGCTCACTCGCGGCCGGCCCGGGGGCGGCAGCAGTAGCGGCGCCAGCGGCCGGCGCCCGCCCGGGCAGCGCGAGCTGGGGCGGGAGCGAGGGGAGGGGACGAGCGGGCGCGCGCGGACGGGAGGGCGGGAGCGCGCTGCCCCGAGAATGGGCCTGGAGCCTTCGAGATACTCTTGTTAAAGGGGCAATGCTTCGTGACTGTAGGGCCCACAGGAGTCAGCACCTGGACACCTGGCTGTAGAGGCAACAGCATGTAGCCGCCAAGACTTGGGGGCAATTGCCAGCGCTCGAGCCGGGAAAAGAGGGGCCCGACCCCGGAGGGGCACCCACACCTCGGACCCGCGCACGCACGTCGCCGCCGTCGGAGGCGGGCTCGGGGGCGGAGCCTCTGTCGGCCCCGCCCAGGTGGAGACAGCGCCCGGGCCCCTCCCCCAGGAGTGCCGCTGCCGGCCGGCTGCGCTCTCGCTGGGTCACCCCTCCTCGCCTTCTCCCCTCCTCCCCTCCGGACCTGTGGTTCTAGAATTCACCGCGCAGCTGCCTCAGGTGCTGGAGCCAAAGGCGGCCGGCAGTGGCGGCGTGGCCACTCTGGAGCTGTCCCCGCCTGGCCCTCAAGTTCCGCAGTCCCAGGTTTCAAGGCCGCCTCAGGCCCAGAGACCCCTCCCCGCGACCTAGCGCGGCCCTTCACACCCCAGCCTAAACCTCGGGTGGGGCTGAGTCCACCAGCTCCCGGGCCAAGGCCAGTCGTGCCCCTAGGCCTCGCTGTCCTGCAGTCCACCTGTCCAAGGGTCCCGGTGCCTGAGCTACACGCTCGGAGCTGGTTCCTCCCTCCACCCGCCGGGCGTTCCTGCTCACTCCTCAGACCCAGCCTGCACCCTCAGGTCCTCATGGGCCATCCCAGGTTTGAGTTGCCCTCCAAAGCTTTGGCTATCCTGAGATGAACTACTGAGGATCCTGTGGGTTCCCCCTCGATGCTACCCTATCCCTCCCTAGATCTAGGCCACCCACTGCAGTTAGGCCCAACTATCTGAATGCCTTTCAGCTTTCATTAATAGTATTAACTACTTTTTCTGCCCACCCTAACTAGCTCTCCAGTCAACTTTGGCTGCCCGCGATGTTTCTGTATTTTTCTTTTAAAACAAGATCTGTCTGCTGGGTGTGGTGACACATTCCTGTAATCCCAGCACTCAGAGACTGAGGCAGGAAGATGGCTACAAGTTCAAGGCCAGCCTGGGCTACATAGTGAGTCCAGGACAGCCTGAATATATAGTGAGACCCTGTCTCAAAACATGGAGTCTATGTATAGCCTCAAACTTTCTTTTTTTTTTTTTTTTTTTTTTCTTTTTCCTTTTTCTTTTGAAGAACCAGGGATCAAACTCAGGCCCTTGAACAAGCAAGGCAAGCACTTATTCTACTGAGCCATTTCCCCAGCCCTAGCCTCGAACTTTTAATCCTCTTGCATCAGCCACCTACATTTACCACATCTGGCTTTGCTCACAATACTGTAGACATCTTTAGCCACCCTCTCTTGTCACCAGGTGACCACTCTGTCCACTTTACTTTTACTACTTATACTTGATTTACCAACTCTCAATTCTACCACCTCTAATTTGTCCCAGTTCTGGGCCAGTTACCTGGAAGTGTCTCTACCCTACCTAGTCTCCACTTATCATTCTCCATTTCACTATCCCATGTGCTTAAATCCCTTAACTGAGATGTGTACATTTCATTTACTATATATATTTATCCTCAGAAAATTGGGGGCCGGTCAAATAGCTCAGCGGATAAAAGTGCATGCAAGCAGGCACAGGGGCCAGGGGTTTGATCCCAGGGCCTGCTGTGCCAGCCATGCCCCAGGGGCACACTGAGATGCAATTGAGACTGGGGGTGGTAGCATGCCTGTAATCCCAGCTCTTGGGAAACTAAACAGGTGGATCACTGCGAGTCCCTAGTAGTGAGACCCTGAACACCCTGTAGACCATCTCCCTGGCCCCGACCCCTCCCTAAAATAAAAAAAATTTTAAAAATTAAAATGGGGGCCTGCCCGGTTAGCTCAGTTATTTAAGTGCCTGCCTATGCAAATGCATTCAGGCTCAAGATTCCCCAGCCCCAAATGCCTTACCAGACTTACCTTTAGACCCACCCTTAAGGCAGCCTGAGCCAGTCAAAAAGAAAGAAAAGGGAAAAAAGAAAATTGAAGGGGCTGGGGAGATGGCTCAGTGGAATAAGTGCTTTCCTGGCAAGTGCAAGGACCTGAGTTCAATCATCAGTTCCACCAAAAAAAGAAAAAAGAAAATTGACTTGTTCTGTTACCTTTTACTGCACCAACGTTTCCAGTGGTTACCATCTTAGGCATCATTAACCTTTATACTCCCTTTATACTCAGCTAATAGTACAATGCTAGATAGGCATGGTGGTACATTCCTATACAGCCCTTGAGAGACTAGGGTAGAAGGATCACCTTAAGTTAAAGGCCAGCTTAATGATATAATGAGACCCCTTTTAAAATGAAAAAAATAGTCCAACACTAATTTTTTTTTTTTTTTTTTAGTATGGGGGATTAAACCCATGGGCTTTGCACATTCTAGCCAGGCACTTCACCACTGAGCTATGCCCTCAGCCCTAGAGAAACCTTTCTTTTTTTAAAAAAAAATGTATTTGGTACAGGATCTACAGGATCTCACTATGTAGAACAGACTTGTGATTCTCCAGTTTTTAGCCTCCCAAGCGCTGAGATTACAGGCATACACCAACTCACCCAGTATCAATCAATGTGCCCCAGGGTCAGGGGCCACATAGTGCTCCAGGGATCAAACCCTGGGCCCTGTGCTCTGCCTAAGCAGGCACTTCAGTCAGCTGAGTTATCTGGCCAACCCAAGAAACCTTTTAAACTCTACAACTGTTGCTGGTGTCATCCCTATAGCCATTACATAAATGAATGATTCCTTTTCCGTTATCCCCCTAGCACCAAGGAGAAAACTCAGTCTATGTACGCAGCCTGGTCCAGTCATGCAAGTACAGGAAAATGAAGACAACTTCATCCCCTTTGCCAAGTGAGTGCTTCCTAGTGGGTAGAGAGGATAGTGAAGGAATAGAGAAAAAATTGCATGCCTATACCCTGTGTTAGACACTGGAAATTCAACAACTAGATGAAGGTTCTGCTCTTACAGAGCTTCCATTCAGAGTGGCAACAGAATGTATAAATATAATTTTCAAGCACAAGGTCCTGAGTTTGATTCCCGACTCAACAAAATTTAAATAAATAGATAAAATTTCAACTAGTGATAATTACCATGAAAAATTAAAATAAGTATAATATAAGGGAAAGTAGTGGATTTGAGAGATACAGTGTTAAATAGAGTGATTATGAAAAACTATTCTGGGTGTTGAATTTGAACTGTAATCAGCAAAGTAAGAAGGAGCTGGTCTAATGAAAGAAATAATTTAGTATGTTCTAAGAACAGGAAGCAGACCAATGTAACTGGAATTTAGTAGTCAAGGGAAGTATTGATAGTAAAGTCAGAGTGACACAAAGGCCAGCTCATACAGGACCTTAATAATTTATAGAAGAGAGTTTGGATTTTATTTTATTTTTATATGTATTATTGGCTTTTATTTTTTACATGAGGTCTTGCTGTGTAGTTCAGATTGGCCCTGAGCTCATTATGTAGCCCAGGCTGGCCTCAAACTCAAGGTGATGCTTCTACCTCAGCCTCCTGAGAGCTAGGATTACCAGCATGCACCACTATACATAGCCAGTGTTAGCAACCTATCTAGTATAGAGGCCAGGGAGATGGCTCAGTACAGTAAGTGCTTCCCTGGCAAGCAGAAGGGCCTGAGTTCAATCCCCAGTTCCACCAAAACAACAACAACAACAACAACAACAAAAAACCCATATCTAGTATGATGAAATCCACCTGCATTTAGATTAGTACATTCAGGTTTCCTTCTTTCTTTCTTTCTTTTTCTTTTTTTTTTTTTTTTTTTGTGTGTGTGTGTGTGGTACTGGGGATTGAACTCAGGACCCTGCACTTGCCAAGCAAATGCTTATTCTACTGAGCTATCTCCCCAGCCCTAGAGGTTAAATACTTTTATTTATTTTTATTTTATTATTATTTTTCCCCCAGTGGTACCCGGGATTAAACTCAGGAGCTTGCACTTGCCAGGTAGGCACTTACGCTACTGAGCTATCTCTCCAGCCCCCTACAGTCAGATTTCTAAAATCCAATTATTTTCATTTCAACTGTGTCAGTTCCGTACTCCATTTTCATTTCTACACAAAGTAGACAAAATTTCCAACTTTTGGGAGGCTATTTATAGACCACACTTCTTGTAAGAATTACTGTCTAAATCATGACCACAAGAAATCAAATTTATATATTCTGTACTAAATAGAGAAAAGACATTATTCAGCATATAACAACATAAAATTCTTTGGTGGTGGTGTTCATGAGCAGTTCAAGGGCTGGAGAGATAGCTCAGTGGACTAAAGTGCCTGCTTAGGCAAGCTTAGGCAAGCCCAGGGATCGTGGTTTGATTCCCAGCACCACATGTCACACCAGTCCCACCCCCAGGGTGGGATGAGCCAGCCAGAGTCCAGGTATAGTCGCAGTGCTGTGGAGGCTAAAAGCAGGAGGACTGCCACGTGTCCAAGCTGCATAGTGAGACCCTGTAACAATCAAATACATTAAAAAAAAAAAAAAAGCTATTCACATAGTAGCTAATTTTGGGCCAGAGAGACAGTTCAGTGGTGTAAGCACCTGCCTGATAAGCACAAGGTCCCAAGTTCAATCCCCAGTATGGGGAAAAAAAAAAAAACCCAACTAATTTTGGGGTGAGTGAATGGCAAAGCATCAGCTTTCTGGCTCTTCCTTTCCCTGCAGTCTTTTTTTTTTTTTTTTTTTT